AGTGCTTGTTTTACTGTGGTTCAACATTATGAAAACTGGGTAAAAAAAAAAAAAAAATTTCAGATTTATTAGAAATAATTCACATGTTAATATCTACATCACATTATTCTGTGTATAAGAAGGGACAATAGATAAAATAAAGCAGAAGATCTAGCATCCTCAAAGATGCACTATAAGTAACACAATATTCTAACTCTGTTTACATTATTAGTGTTGGCTACAAAGATATAGTGTTAAAACATGACCCAAATCTTTTGCATAGGTATCTTCAAAATTTCAGCTTTCATTTCAAATTGTATTTGAAAGAGGCAAAAAATGTAAAGTAATGATTGCCAGCATGAGGTTGACTGGTAGAAATTCCATGCCAAACTTGCAGTCTTAAATAAGGACTTTCTTGCAAACAGGAGGAAAATGCTGCATAACCGTTGTGTTCTTTTTGGCAGCAAACAAAATCATCTTCTGGAACAACAATTAACAGTTTTCACTTGAGAACCATTTTCTCAAAATCAAAGTCTCTTTTTATGCAGGGTCTGTCAAAATGCAGGCCTGTTGTGGGCAAGTTCTCACAAGTGGTGTCATGGAAATGCTGCGTTATACTGTATACTGTAGATGTTTGTGTTTTCTAAACCTTGAAGGCAATATCCTCAAAGAATTTCAGCTGCCTCACCATCACAGCATAAGCTTGGTACTTCTCATCCCCCATCTGGTTACGAAGGTACAGCTGCAGTGAGAAAAAGGATACCAAGTGAGATTAGGAAAGAAAGGACAAACTTGTAAGCAAACTTGGTTTTGCACTTTGAGACATAGTGCATACATTGTGCAAGTAAACCTACTGTATAAATACCAAGGTTGATCTTGACATTTACTTATTTTGAACTAAGAAATCGGTGTAACTTGAGTAACATACAGTGCCAATGGCCCTTATTTGTCAACAAATGCTTTGCAATCTGTTTTCCTTGTGTTATCACTAAAATTAAGAAAATACTCCACTACTGCACTGACCCAATCAGTGAAGTAAGAAAATCACTGAGCAATTTCTGTATGTAACTTGGTTTATCTTTGTGACCTCTTTTGTACTTCCTTGTATAGAGGTGCACAATGTTTCACTTCAGAAAACCATAATATCCCTAAACATCTGTAAAGCAATGAGCACAAATGAAAAAAAGAACCACCACACTGGCCCAGCTCAGATTTATTGCAGCTGTTCCTTAAGGTTTTAAGAGTAATATGTTGCATAGAGTATATATGATTTGGTATGATGTGCTTTACTTCTTGAAACCCATACTTCTCGTTTGCTGTCATCCTCTTCTTCCATGATTTCCAGCACTCTGCCCAGCAGCTTCACCCCCAGGCCTTTCATTACATCTGTTCTCAGCTGTTCTATGACTCTCCGTATCTTGGCTGGACCAGATGTGGAGCCTTTAGGAAGAACCGAGTGGTTAAACAGAAGAAAGTACCACAGTGACTGAGTGATGATGGCATTTGATTGCTTGCTTCTCTAACCTATTGGTATTTCACCAAGTGACAAGTTCTCTGCTTCCTGTCGAGCCTTCCCATGAAGCACCAGGGTGTCCCTGTACTTCCTGTTTAGTTTAAATTCTGGCAGTGCATCAGAGCCCAAACTGTCTTTATCCACATCGTTTACACTGTCTCCAACATCCATCCTCAAAGTCTGGGTCATCATGTTGACTAAATCTTGCATGTCATTGGATTCAGTCTTCCTGTAGATGACCAATGGATCATGGATTATACCACTGTTTTACTTATAAAAAGCAAATACATTAACACAGACTTTCCAGTGCCAATAACATGGATAGTAAAGGAGTATGGTAGCTATATTCAAGATGAGGTGAGTTGCACTCTGTATTTTTCTCACCTCTCCCTGCAGTCTCCCTCTGAACGCTCTGTGGAGCTCGTGGATGACCTACATTCATCTTCATCTGACCTTCGCTCCAGCAACTTATCCTGCTGTAATGAAACATATTCCCACAGTTGTGACACAGACCTTTGTTTTGCTTTTACAGTAGCATCTAAGTAACCTCATGAAGCACATCCAGCCTTTTTTTGGCTTACTGTAAACATTCAAAAAGTGATAGGGTATCCATACCTTATTGCTGGTGTCAGAGGCAGAGTCTGAAATGGACCTGGTAATTGGGACACTCTTGTGCTCAGCCTTGGAGGAAGTAACATCATATGATGCCCTTCTTACAGCGCCAACACCTGGGAAAAGCATGAAATTCAGCAGGGATAGCAAATAAAATACCAGTTATTCCTTTTAATTTTATAGCACTAATAATGACTACAATAGTCACTTAAAACATACATGTTGTGAAGTCCCCAGTGTAATTAAGTGTATGTGTATTTTGTCAGACTGCTTTTTTTTTTTTTTTTTTTTTTGTCTCTCTCTTTATTCAAGCTTTCTATATTTTAAGCTTCACAGGTTTTGTTATAGGTCTTACTATGACATTCTGGTTTCAGCTTGGACATTGGACAAAAAGACATTAAGTACCTGGCTGACTGGTGCTCTCTTGGGACTGCCTCAGTCTCCTTCTCTCTCTGGCAGACAGAGGACGATCCTGAAAGTAAAATTGACCCACATTTTGATGCTGACTTCAAGAAGAATACTCTATACCAGGTTTCCAAAACCAATTAACAAAGAGCTGAAAAAACTGCACAAAAAATTGTGATTCTATTTAACTTTAAATATAACTTTGCAAAACTTTGGGAGGAAATTGTCTTTAGGGTGTCTTCTAATCCTCTTCCTCTAATCACTGATTGGAAAATAGTACATTATAACTTGTTTAGATTTCAGAAACGCTGATACAAAACATCTTATTCAGAAACAGACAAAATGTGGCTGTGTACTGTATGTGAGTAGATGAGCACTCTCACCTGTGGCAGTGCTAACAATCCATCCTTAGAGGAATTAACTGATGTGCAAGCTGCAGTCACACCAGCTTTCTTGCTTTCTGTGCACCTCTTGTTCCTCTTCATATCCTCCACAGCTGTGATCTCAATAGGAGGTGGAGGTAAAGGTCTAGGGGCCACATTTGACTAACAAAAGGCAAAATATGTATATACGGTATTATATACAAGACAATTGATTGAAATTAACTTCATTCAACCTGAAAGAACTTAAAATTCTGGCAAAATACAATCTTTCTCTCATGTTTCCTATTTGTTAACTTATCATAAAAACAAAGGTAGCATTACATAATATGACACAGTGATTAAACTGCTTTAACCCTACAAGTACCTGCATTTTAGCAACTTGACATCAATCTTTACCTTGTCCGGATCCCCATGTGTCCGTCTTATGTCCCTCCCTCTGTGTTGCTGTGATTTAGAAGGTTCTGATGAGAAGTGCGGGAGAGTTTGGCATGGACTGGTCAGACCCGTCTTACTGAGTGGTATAGGTGATTCCTCCTGAACAGGTTCCTAAACACACACAATTACACTTCTTCCACTTTGGCAAAAATCTTCACAAAATTCTAGAAACATGCTATTCACTTTGTGCAATTAGGCATTGGCAGTGTTACACTGTCAAGCTATGAGTTCTATTGTGGGAGGAGTTCACAGAATGAGTGTGTGAATTATAATTCTCACCAGCAGTGAAGGAAATGGCTCTAACAGCTTTTCAGTAGATTCTAAGTTGTCCTACAGAAACATGAATTAACTCACATAAAAATAAACAAGACTACTTAATGAGAAAACAATAGAAGTATTGCTTTATTATCAGTACTTACTTGGATGTCTGAGGTATGTAGGTGTTGTGCTGCAGCTCCCTTGAGAAGGGTAATAGTGTCACAAATTTTGTTCATTTTCACTTCCACAATCCCTCCGATATGTTCAGCACTAGATCTGTGTGCAGATCTCCTCTCAGGCAGAGAAAAAGCTGCCCCTTTTAACACTTCTGGCTTCGGGTTCTGCATTTCAGCTTCTTTAAGTAACTCCATGGTATCATCCTTATCATCCACATCTGACATATGTTTCTCCCCAAAGACAGAAAATGTATCGCCAGAGTTTGGTGTGGCTTGTGGCTGAAAGTCTACCAGTCCATTGGATGCCCGTCTCTTGCTTCCTCTTGTACTGTCAACTCCTGACACAGTCTCCAGAGGAGTCTTAACAGGGGAAGGAGGAGGAGAAAGAACTGGTTTCCCTCTTCCCTTGTTGCTTTTGTACACACTGTGAGTAACATGTTCATCATCTGCCCACTGATGTGACACAACTGACTGGGGCCTCCGCACCTGTCTCTTCAACAGGTCCTCATCCTCCTGAAGTTGGACATCAATATTGATATTGCTGATGCTTGCCAGAGATGAAAGGCTGCCTTTAAGAGGATCAGGTGAAGAGGCTTTGGGTGATGGAGGTGTTTGTACTGAAGCGCAGTCGCTGATGCCATTTTGAACTCTATGCTGTTGTGATTTTTCCTCTTTCTGAAGATGAAGACATAAAACAAAAACTATAATAATCACAGATAAATCACTGCTTGATATAATATCTGAAGAAGCTTGAGTAAACAGCTTCAGTGATAGAGTAATCAGAGCAACCCATGTTGACATTTTACAACTCTAATGACTGGGAAATTTACACACACAAATTGAGAATAAACACACATTAATGGAACTTACTATAAATTGGCCATGCAATTTGTAAATCCTGGATGCAATGTCATGTATTTTAGCAAACATCTAGTGATTCTGTGTCAAAATAAGACTCTGAAAAGTATTTACACAAAAGTCGTATCGGGGTAAAAATACTTTATCCACTTACTGCGACAAAATAAGAATTGTGTTATTTCAAAAGCAAAAAAGAAATGTTGATTAATTAAACATCCTAATCACATTGATTAATACCATTTGGCATACTATTTGCTAAGCAAAGTAGCAGCCTATTGGCATTAATTTTAGTAATGTTTAAGATAAGAGTTATCTCAAACATTTACCAAACACAAACTTAAAATTTCTGAGTTTTCTGTGGGAAACCGGCCTTGCTATCTGTCAGTTACTCACCCGTTTCCCTTTGACAAAGGTTTTAGGCTGGGGACTTGGAGGCAGCCTCTCAGGTTTTGGCTGAGGGGACACCACACTGCTGACCATACAATCACCACTGCCAGTCACAGCTTTACTTCTTGACTTGGCAGTTTTTCTGGTGTAGAAAGAAGCACAGCAAACACAACCATCTAAGAATTGATCAAAATGTTTTCCTAAAACTAGCAGCACGAACAAACAAACAAGGTGATAAATAAGACAGTGGAAGGAGGTTAGCTGTCAGTGAAACCCACTCCTTGGTGGCCTCAAGGAACATGGCAATTTGTCTTTTGATGTAAGACTGCCGGAGGATAAGTTTGACATCAGGCCTGTCTTCAGGTCTCTTACACAGCATGCTCCTGATCAAATCTCCCAGCTGGGGATCATATCTACTGGGCATCTGTGGCAGCTGGGAAGAAAACCAGAAAATGTTTGTGAGGGACTGTGACTCTTGGTTGCCATAAATAGCACGTCTAAATAATGAAGGTTCATAAAAACAACATGTCTTGACAGGACAAGAATCAAGGATTGAAATCCTGATCAAGACGGCTGAATTCACCAAGCACAACCTGCGCTTGGAGTTCCAACAATGACCCTTAACTCCTCTGATGCTGACGACATGACCAACTAATTTCAGACTCAGAAGACTAAGTTAATTAATAAATAAACATACAGATGCATACAAAAAGTGTGATTTCAGTTGCCTCTCAACACAAACAGTTTACTGAAAATAACAGACACTATGTAGCAGCATCATACTTGACCTGAACTGCATATCTAACAAAATACATGTATGAAAAGATTAAACCCACCTTTCCTTCTACAATGCGATACACCAGTGAGTTCATGTCCTTGGCATTGAAGGCATGTTTCAGTGTGGACATCTCATACACACAACAACCCAAGGCCCATACATCTGACTAGAGGGGAAAATTGCATTGAATTGTAAATCAGTTACCACTTACTATCCACTTATGAACTGTGCATAGTAAGAAAATATAGCCCAAATACCTTGTGGTTATAGGGTTTATTAGAGAACAGCTCTGGACTCATGTAGTAAGGGGTCCCTATGAGTGTGCTGGCCATATCATTCTGGTTCTCCAATACTCGTGCAATGCCAAGGTCCCCAACTTTGATGATGTTTGTTTTTGTTAGGAAGATGTTCTGTGTTTTAAGGTCTCTGTGAAGAATGTTCCTCTCATGCAGGTACTGAAAAGCAAAAGCAAAACAGTGATTTTAAGCATGCTGTACTCATGTAAATAAAAAAATGTTTGACTTCACATGACCATCACTTTCAACAGCACAGTATACTGTACCTGGAGTGCCATGGCTATCTGGACAAACCACTCCACCACCTGCCTCTCAGGTAAGAGTTCCCCCTTTTGCTGTTTAAGTCTGTGATAGAGGTCACCTCCTTCACAGAAACCCATCACAATGTAGAGCTGGCAGTCCCCTCCTTCCCAAGACTCTTTGTATGTCACAATGTTAGGATGCCGCAGCTCAGACAGAAGCTGTGCCTCCTGCTCTGCTGCTCGCCGCTCCCGCTTGGAAGAGGTGGTTAAATTAAGCTTCTTAATAACATACTGAAATAAAAGTCAAATGGAAATGGAACTTAAACACATCTTTGTCATTCTACATGTGTAAAAAAATTCAGAAGCTAAAATGCAAGGAAACAAACAAAGTATAGGATGGACAAACATTCCAAACCAGACGGCAATAAACTTAACTTTATAATTACATTTACATAATTACATTATTTTATTTAAAATGTTAATGGCCGGTAAAGACCAGGGACTCACACATCTCACTTACTTTGTGTTGTAATTAACAACACATATGTTCTTTGTTAGCATAATACTTACGTTACGTTATGTCTTTCCAGCACTGAATAAATCTCAAACATAATGTCCAAGTGCGTAAACAATTCTGTGAGGTGTTAGCCGTCTCTAGCTAACTTTATGCTAACGTTAGCTGAAGTGAGTTTTGTAGCGTCAAGCCTGGGAATTATGAAATCTCAAGCGACTAAAACAGATAACACTAAATGTTGCTTATTTTAATTCCCGTGAACTGTACTAGATTTAATAACGCTACATGCGTCACGTTCTCACCTGTTTTCGGTCTATTCTGTGTTTCACTAAGTTCACCTCCCCATAGCTCCCTTTCCCCACGACCCTGATGAAAATATAATTATTCATCATTGTTCAAAACTCTTTATAACATGACCTAAGATGCTGAAAGGTTACACGACACCCCCACTGAGATGTACAGTATTGTATCATCCCTAACCCCAGCTCTAAAGACGAGAAAAACATGTGGAATCTGTCAGGAAAACTTAGAGCTAGCAGAGTGCCAGCGACGAGATTGAAAAACGAAGGAAATCAGCACCACTCAGTCGATAGTTGTTTGTCACTAGGCAACTGACAAAAACAGCTGCCGCTACAGGACAGCGCCACCAAACGTCTGCATCCAGTCACCGCCGCAAATTTACCACAGAAACGTTTTTCAGCAGCTGCTTAGAGAGACTATGGAGTTAGTTTTCTTCTGTAAATAACAATCAGCCGTCTGATTAGATTTGCATGAACGGTTTTCAACTAATAAAATAGATTATCCACCCTCCCCCCCTTCATTTTTTTCATTAAGGTCTATTATTATTTTCTAAATGCAGGGTAATTCTCTGTAACTTCTTTGCTTTTACTTGGGACATTATTTACAAATGTTTTTAAAAAATCAGTTTTTTGAGATACCCTAGAAGACACCATTTGGAGTGTGTTTCCATATCTGGACTTGTATGATTCAAAGTTACTGTAAACTGGGGGAAAGTAAGATGCCTGGCTGTAATCGTAATGTAGGTGAAATTAATTATTTTAATGATGCTTTATTTCATTTACCAGCATACACAATTACCAGGAATGGGAACTGCTGCAATAAAATGAGACGTGCCATTTGTTAATATAATATATTAGTTACACCTGTGCTCTTTCTCTTATGACATGTAGGCTAAGTAATGCCACAAGCCAGGCTTCTCTTAATGAGCATTAAAAAAAAAGAGGAAGGGGTCACTATAAACATCGTGCTGAATACCCCAGATAGACATGGTCTATATTGGGTGAATTGCCCTAATGTGGGACACTGCCTAATGTGGGACACCTAAGCTCCAGTGCCTGTAGGTTGTCCTCAAACAAATGAAAGTCAGTGAAACCATCAGTTAGCACAAGCTGGAATGTCATGTTATCTAATCATATAACTTTTCAAATGTCCCATTATAGATAAGGATGAAGTACTCTTCAAAAAGGAAGCACCCCCTGTTAAGACCATTCAAATATCAGTGACATAACATTTAGACAAACTTGATGATAAGGGTATACACTTCTTATAAATAAAACAATCCTGCTAGTTTTTATCAGGATGTGTTTATGCTATGTTTTCATCAAAAAATATAATATGATGGAAATATACTCTATTTGTTAGTTCAGTCAAGTTTTTCATTGTCCTGCTTTAGGAACCTTTGTTTGTAAAGTGGGACAGTACGATTTGCCTAATGTGGGACAGTTCTAACTGTGCTTCCGTCAGGGAAAAATCCATGAATTGTGCAATAACAATGGTTATTTCCAGGGTTTTAGTCATCTAATGCATTATTTTAGTTGTTTAAGGTCAAGGGCAAATTATAACTATGGGTGGCTGCATCTCTGTTAAAATGGTGTGAGGTTTTTATTCTGTGGTTGTTTTTAATGTGTGCATGAAGGGAGGACTCTTTTTAAAGTCAGGGAGAATGTAGCAATGAATGAAAGAAAAACCTGATAGTCAAATATTTATAGCAATATAATAAAGTCTTTTCACTTAATGTTTTGCAAAGCCTATTACAGATTATTCCAATCAGATCACAGTGGCAAATGAGGGCAGCTGTGGTTCCTTGACATAGAATGACTGCTTGCTTCCAGACAAGTAATGAGCCGATTTCTTCGGGTTGTTGTTTTTACACCTATGCATTACAGGTTATTCAATCAATATCTATAATTCAGTGTGTTGTAGACAACTATTTTATGCAGGTTTGGATTTAATATGTTGCCTCAAGATTTGATATGTTGCCTTCTAACATGCCTGTTACAGTTGTAGGTGTTTAGTGACTAGTAAAACATTTTAATTACTTAACATTTTACTTTTTTAACATTTCACCTTTGCGATTCACATTTAATTTTGCATGACAAATATGATGATTATAGGCTATTTAATGTCTTTGTAAAAAATGCATTAAAACTATTATACTCTATTGTTTGCTTTATTAAGATTTTAACATAGACTTTGTCATGTCCCACATTGGGAAATGTAAATTGTCTGAGATGACTTGGCACTAGCCAGCTAAGATGTCTACCAATTCATTTATGAGTGTGATATCTGCATTTTGCTTTTTTGGTCTGATTAGGACACATTTTGGGGATTTTTATAATGGTACATATTGTGTGTGGATTTAATGTGCTGGCTTCATATGGCAATATATTCCAGAAGTCTGAAAGGCAAAAAAATGCCTTAGGGCAATTCACCCTCCCTTTAATAAAATAACATGCTATAAAAGCACAGCAAAATATTTTACTATTTTGGTCCCATAAAATGAGGTAGGATAGGCCACTTAGTGCCAGTGGAGAGCAAACTACCAGTTTAACTGTATTTTACCAGTATAGGTCTCCTTGTATCAGGCCTGACCAATAGTCTGCAAAGAAAAAAGTTCACCTGAACTGATGCGTATTAGCCTACCTAAAACTACTAATTTCATTTTCATGCAAATCGTGTATTGACATGAATTTGTTGGGCCATGTAATCCACTAGATGGGGCACTAAACCACTGCAAACTGACACCACATATATTTATCGTAATCAGTTAGGCCTACAGATAATAGACAGGGAGAAATAAATTGTGTGGGCTTTATTCAAGGCTTATTTTAAAGCAACTTTGCAAATGAATAAGGGAAATGTATAAGTTTGGTGTGATCCTTTAATAAAAAAAGTAACATAACCAGTGGCGGTAGAAGTACTCAGATTGTTTATGTCTGTAAAAGTATCAGTACCACAGTGTAAACTACCCTGTTACAAGTAAAGGTTATGCATTCAAAATGTTACTTAAGTGAAAGTACAAAATTATTAGCATCAAAATATACATAAAGTACCAAAAGTAAAAGTACTGATTATGTAGAATGATACAGCTCACATTCATGTACATCATACTATTAGATTATAATTGCCGATGTGTTATTGTGTACATCATATTTAAGATACAGCTGGTAAAGGTGGAGCTAATGTTATCTACTTATATACAATTTGAAGTACTTTACATACTGTAAGCTCATGAACTTTCCACGGAGGATCAATAAAATCTTATGATTATATTGTATTGTGTTTGAGTCAAATTCCTCGTGTGTCCATCACACCTGGCCAGTAAAACTGATTCTGATTCTGTTTTATTCATCTCATCTTAAAATGTAACTAGTATTAAATGTATCAAAAGAATGTAGAGAGTACAAAGTGTAATGTCTTTCTCTGAAATGTAGTGAAGTTGGAGTATTAGAAAATGGAAATACTCAAGTAAAGTACAAATACCTCAAAATTGTACTTAAGTACAGTAACTTGAATAAATGCACTCAGTTACTTTCCACAACCGCACATAATACTGTGGTCCATATATAGCCTACACACAACAAAAAGCATATGCAAAACATGTAATTTTGACATGCAAATACAATAATATCAGGCGTATATGAAATTTCAATGGAATTACAATTCAGTTGCATAAATGTAACAATGACAACACTAAACTTCTTATGTGGGACCAAGCTTGGAGAAGGAACACTCTTCTAGGGCCATATCTAGTCAAGTTTGACAGATCTGTGAAGTTTGCTACTGTATCACCAGTAGCCAACCCCAGTTAGTCTACTACTGTTACAGGCAGGTGTTGGTAAGGCAACTACTACAAACTTCTCTGTTTGTATATGTGCATAAAATTATGAGATATATATATTTTTAAAATCATCTTCTGTTTATGGTGATGTAGTTATTGATATAGTTCAGAGTTAGGGAGAGAATACAGCAGCAAGCCAATTACATTGTCATTATGAGTAGACCTGCTAAAATTTCCCCTTACTGCATGGGATTATCATGACTAATTTCACAGCCGCTAATGATAGGCCTCTTGCCACGTTTAACAGACTAGTAGAAATAACAACAGAGCCTTGGCATTTAATTGAGATCATTTATATCACCCATTGTCAAAGCTGTACAATGACACCTCCAAGCCTTTTTTATCATAAGTACAGCACGGGAGTGACGGGTGCAGAGAAGGAACCAATAGCGTAGCAGAAATGTTTACCTGGTCGCCACAGCTCGGCCGCTGATTGGTCCGTTAGCCTCCGTGCCCTAACGTGACGTAAGGAGGAGCGGTGCTGGCGAGGCTACCGAGTACGGATTCAGCGTGAGAGCGCTCCGAGCGGGAGAGGCAGACGGACACTGGACGTGGCTGGTGGACCTTATACTGACTGTCACATTCCAGGTAGTAACGACTGCTGCTACGCTGTCATGACTCAAACATTAACCGCGACTCTTCCGCAAAGAGACAGATAGTAGCCTACATACTGGAGCATGGTGTTTCGTGCCAGGGTTTTGACAGCTCTTTTTCAGTTAACATTTATCAGTGAGTAACGCCAGCGGGCACTTTGCATTTAAGGACTTCTTTGAGGACTTCTCGTTTAGCTAGAGAAACGTTTTTGATGACTTTTATACTATAACTCGTTTCAACATCACTATAGGGGAAGCTGCCGAGTTAGCAGCCGTCAGTCAGATTAGGCGGATGAAGCTACAGTTTCGAAGAGGACATATGCTAGGGGCTGAATCAGTGGTGTAAGAAGTCCTCAGGTTGTTTACTTAAGTAAAGGTAGCAATAAGGTAGCAATACCACAGTGTAAAATACTCTGTTACAAGTAAAATTCGTGTGTTTGAAAATATACTTAAGGTACCAAAAGTAAAAGTTTACATTGATGTACGTTTTCGTATTCAGTTGTAATTTTTTGATGTATTATGTGCATCACATTTAATTGTAGCTGGTAAAGGTGGAGCAAATTTACCTACCTTTTATGCTTATAATGTGAATTACTGCTGGGAAGCTTGTGAATATTACACCAAGGAGCAATGCATCTTGTGATTATACTGTATTTTATTTTATTAACCTCTTTCTGAAAAGAAAATGGTAACTAAAAGTTATCAAATACGTGTAGTTAGTACAAAGTACAGTATTTTCCTGTGAAATGTAGTGAAGTCAAGGTAATACCCAATTAAAGTACAGATACCTCAAAATTGTACTTAAGTACAGTCTTTGAGTAAATGTACTTAGTTACTTTTCACCTGTGGGCTGAAGTAACAACTTCTTCATACAAACCAGTAAAACCAGACTGCTCTCTGAGTTAATTTTGGTTAAATCATGTTTGACCATTTTTAGATAACTCGGCTGTCTTCAGAGGTCTCTAGCAGTGTTGTTATTAATTTTTAAAGCAGAAATGGTGTGCGACAAATATAAACATGAGATGACGTGTAACATTTGAATGTTTATCTATAAGTCCTTTTAGTTTTTACCCTTTTCCTCAAATCTAATTCCCCCCCTCCATATTTCTGTATCTCTGTCTCTTTCAACTCCCTGTACGACAAACCCCCTCCCGGGATCTTGTTAAGAGAAGTCTGTTTATCAGTTAATAAGCTCACTTTGAGAGCAGATTTGTTGAGTGTCATTGATTGCAGCAGACTGCTGTTAGTAGTAAACTTCTCTGTGCTGGCCATGTCAGCCGGTGGGTGCATGAGATTGACTGACGGGGCCATGCAGTTTCATATAGGCACCAACATGGCAAGCAGGAACAATGGTGCAGATTAACCAGATAGTTTTCGAAGTCCTGTAATAGTTGATGTTGATAGATGAAACATGTTAATAAACAGTGAATCACAAACTGCCCCTGCACTGCTCTCTCTCTGTATTCATGCTTTTAAACACGCTGCACTCGGCTCGTGGAAAAAGCACTCGCCCACCACTGCAGAGACCTGGAATCTCTGTCAGCTCATCTGCTTGACCTGATGAATCATTTCTGTTTGTTGTACTGAAGATGTGAATGGAAGCAGGTTTTGCATTTCATTCTGCTTGGCATGCATATCTCTGCCTTTTTATTTTACAAATTCCTGAGAAATTCCAGATTTTCAGAGACATCAGTGCGATGACAAATGAGATTTAGAACAAAGAAATGTGAAATGTGATCCAAAACACAGGCAGCTGGATGTGAAAAAGATGACTCTGCTTTTGTCTTCAGGCCAGATTTCAGGTTGATCAGGAGGGTCTGGCTCTCTACAGCTTTGAAAGCATTAAAAGATCAGAGCTGTAGTTTTGTACCTGACCTAACAAGAGCCCAGAGAAGAAGTAGGAAAATCATTCAAAAAGCTTTTTGGTTTCAGTGAAGTGAATCTGCTTAAACAGCAGTGCAGCCCCTTGATGTGAAGTCTTTATTCATAACTTGTTAGCAGAGTTCCCCCGAGTTGGGAGCTGTACCATCAATTGTCTGCTGAGATATAGGGCTTTGTATTGGCAAGAATCTGGTGATACGATAATATCATGATACAGGAGTTACAATTTGATATATTGCAATACTGTAAACAAGGCGATATATTGCAATTTGTTTAAAATTAAATTTTAGAAAAACTGTCATAAAACAAGCAACACAACACCATATGCATAAAAACTCCTGTAAAACGTTAACTTTTTTATGCAATTAGAACAGGGATGTGCATTTGTCACAGTCCCCGTAACATCCAACAGCATAGCACTACTTGGCATGTGAACTGTTAATTAAAAATCGATACTGTGTTTTTGAGAATTGATACAGTATCACAAAATATAATATCGCGATACTCAAGTGTATTGATATTTTCTTACATCCCTACTGATATATGTAATAGCAGAGAAGAGAACCAACTTGTAAACATGTTAACTTATTGTAAGCACTGTTGTAGAGCCACAAGCTACAAGTGGATTTGTCCTGGATGTGTTCGAGAGCTCAGTTTAGACAATTTTTAATTTAACCTTTAGACATCTGGTTTTAACATCAGCTGCACTGTTTGTGTGTTTGATTCTCTGTGTGTACATGTGTGTGTGCATGTGTTGCCAAAAGTGCTAATGCCATTGAATTTCACACCCAAATGCAGCAGCAGCATTCATTTTGTCACGTTTAACTGTGGTCGTGTGTATGTGTGTGTTTCTTCTGTTCACTGCACATCACAGGAAATGGGAAACCAGTGAGTACAGCGACTCTCTCTATGTATGTCTTAAACAAGGGTGAATGCTGCATGTTATGTAGTGTTGAGGGAATGTGGTTATGGTATTGTGCATCTCCCAGTCTCAAGCCCCCTCAGTCCTGTTGCTGCTTGAATGTTGAGCAGCTCTGGCCAAAACATCATGTCGTCAGTGGACATGAAGTGGCTGCTTTTGGCCTTTTACATGCTCACGCATGTGTCTTTTCTCTACTCTCCCACATTTTTTAAAACTTGCCCCTGTCTGCCCCTGGGTGTCCCAAACAGGAACTTTATACTGCTATTTATAGCATTAGTCTGCTTGAACAGACCCTGTTCCTCAACTTTGACAATGTCCTTAAAGCTGCAGTGGCTAGAAATGTGTTGCTTGAAATGTGATATGAAGTTGCCTAATAGAAACCAGGTCCTATTTTTTGTGCCACTGAAGGAAAATCCAAGTGTTGATGAGGGGGGATTTACCGTAGGTGCATGCTGGTATTTCCTGCAGCAGCTACCCATAGAGTTCTAAAATGAACACAGCCAGTGACAAGAGACCACTGATGCATTTATAGATTTTAGATGACTTTGATGTTTAAATGACTTTGATGTTCAGCACCACCCATTCTCAGTGCATGAATTAACATGAATCTCCATGAATTTCCATATGAGGAAAGCGAGGTGCTACAAAAAAGCAGAGAGGTGTTTTCACTGTTTCTGTGTCTTCAGTTTCCTCAGAACAGTCTTGTGCTGTTGCAGTTATTTTTAGCCTAAATGTTGTTATTTTTCACCACAACAAATGTGATGTCCTGCCAAAATAATGCTGCTCAAATAGTGGAGATAAGTTGAGGGCTGCAACTATTTTTTAAATTTATTTTTGATTTTTCTATATTGCTTATCTTTTGAGTGTATCAAATCATTTTCTTTACAAAATGTCAGAAATACTGACAGAGGCCTACAGTATATCCATCACAGTTTACCAGAGCCTAGACAACTGGGCTTCTTCTGACCAGGAGGAAGAAAGTATTATGTTTAATCAATATGAAAATATTATTCTTAATATACAACTGTGATAGACTGGCAACCTGTTGAGGGTGTACCCTGCCTCTCACTCCATCCCTCTACAGTCTAAGTGGTATAAATTGATAGATGGATAATATAATATAATTGTTTACACTGAAATTCTCCTGTATTCCTTTCAGAATAAAGTTAGACTCTACTATAGATTTTTTATTTGTCCTTAATTAATTATTAGACTCCAGGAGCCTAGGCATTGATACAGCAGTTTTGCAGGCAAGGCTTTTCACATGTCACTGGACTTCCTCTTTTTATTTCCTGTTTTCTTTAAGCACAGTACTGTGCTGTGTTTTTCACTTTTAATTTATAAATACTTCCTTTTACTTTATGCTTTAAATGGAATTCAGAATGCACTAGTGGAAACAATGTGCACCTAATGAACAGTATTGGAGTGTAATTCTGACCAGGTTATATCATCTTTCTGCTTCGTGTGTGTGATATTTTCTTCTAATCCATATCCAATAACCACATACTGGATGCTTTTGTGCCAAACTAAGCATAAAATACTGCAGCCAGCCACTGAAATGACCAGAATGATTTCCACCTTCGCAGCCACCTACCACTGAACACTAAAGCAATTTAGATTCAGATAGCAGAGCAGCTCCTCATGAAGTCAACTTCTGACATTAAGAAAGGCAGCAAGAGGACCACCGTGTGTGTTTGCATGTGCGGAAGCATAAGACGTGTGACATTCTATGCATCTATAGTATTGTGTATATTTGTGCATCAATCTATGACTGTTCCTCAGTGCATCAAGAAGAAGCCATGACCATTTAGCATTTATTCTCAGATGGCTGCAGTGTTAAGCTGACCCCTGTTTATCACTTAATGACACTCATACACTCAGTTGAACATTTAAATGACTTTGAACTGACTGGAAAATGATTAATGGTGCTATTATGTTGTCTTTAACAAAGCAGCACTTGTTCAATCCAAAACAATATGTTACATCATGTTATATTGGCAGACTGTGAAGTTGCCAGGCAGGCAGCAGGAACAGAGGAGGAGCGAGGCATGCTGATATGAGCAAGGCTATTTTAGTCTTTGAGGTCGTGAGTTGTAGGCACTTTCTGGGTTTAGATGAAGATGACTGTGACAGTAATGTCCTCTGCGATCACTCCCACTCTTTAGAGTATAGTGAGGACAAACATCTGAATGTGAACTTTATCTGAGGAATATGAACAAACTGGTCATTACTTGTTTTGTCCAAGCATTCTAGGCATTATGTGTGGAATTAAAAGCAAAAATATTGAAATTGGCCCTATCGCACAGTGGTGAAGAAGCCATTAAAAATATTTCTGGGTCTGAATGATGATCCAGATCAGCGCCAAAATATAATGGATTGTTCTCTAGACCATACGCTACCTGTCCAAAATGCCCATTCATTACATTTTGAGTTATGCCCTTAAACAAACACAGGCGAAAACTCCACCTTCCCATAGGTCGTGAGACAAAGTGAGAATGGGAACCAACCAAAGAATTAACATTGTGTCATTTTTTAACAGTGTATACATTATACTTTAGCATAATATTTGATTGCAAAGCTAATTTATATCACCTTGACTGACATTTCATATGCAGATATGCGACTGCATTTTGTTTGTTTTTTTAATTGTGGCTCATCTTAAAGTTTGAGTCAACAATACCAAAGTAAACTCAGGAGAAAAACCTTGTCTGCTGTTTTTAGGAATTTGTTACTATGAGTTATGTGATCTGGATCCAAATCCCTGGTCACAACCAGTGATTTATGCAGTTCTGACACTGAGTACTGTATATCTGAACTCATATTTCTACAGCAGCAGTCAAGTGGAATTGACTGTTACTTATTAACCTACTAGATATTGGACTTGAGACTAGAGTAGAGTGGATTAAGTGACGACATCTCCACTGACTTTATATGGACTGTTTTTTTACAGTAATGGCAGATCATTAGAATGCTGAATAATTCCTAACATTAGGAGCAGCTCCATAGAGTTGCATTTAGTTGGCTGGTATCTTCCAAAGTAAGAAGTTGAAATCAATAGCAATAATTATACTTGTTACATTTTAAGTTAGTGATGTGTCAAAACATTTTATAACCTTTTGGACTGTCTATCAAATATTGGGTCACTTTAATAATTACCTAGCTAACTAGATAATTTAGCTGAACTATCTACAACAACAGAAGGCAGAATTTGTTTACAAGGCTATACAGGTTGTTAAAAGCAGCACAAACGACAGTTTGCAGCTACTTAAAGCTACGTGAGTCACATGACCCGCTGCTGTTTTTGACCCCTCAGTTTTGCAACTCTTTTAACTTAAGAGCTCTGGACTGGATCCTTTGCACTGCCTTCCATGCCCAAAGTAACCACAAAATTGCAGCAATCACTTTGAATGTTAAAACACAACCACAATGAATTTGCACATTTGTAGGACTCATATGAACAACGACCTAGCATTTACCTTGACAAATGTTTCGGACAAGTGTAATAGATAAAACACAGCCTGAGTCATATCAGCATCTTGTGCCATAAGATATTCTTTGTATGTGAAAGTAGTGTTAGAGGAAGCAGGCTTTACCACATTCTTTAGCTGCTCAACACATGTAGTTGCCTGTGTAACAGCTGTCAGTTTGCCATTTGTGGTATATTTGACAAACTGTAATATAGTAACGGGCAAGTATGGAATGACGCTTTCCTTGAAAGTGAGAAATGGGATCCTTGTTATTATATGAAAAGCTTTGTAATGATTTTTTTCATCATTACATTTTATTGGGCACAACATTAAGTCAGGCACTTCTTCCTGCAAGTGTTGCTGCAGGAAGTTGTCAAAGCCAAATATTCACAATACAACAACATAATAATGGCCACACAGCCACTAATTAGTGGTTATTACACATAGTTAATGTAAACTACTTTGAATTGTCTTTGTGTTTGAAAGAAACTATACAAAACAAACTGCCTTGCCTTACAGTGCATGGTGTGTATGTACTGTGTCAGCAGAGGTGGCACACGCTAGAAGGAATCCACGGATCCATGTTATAGGCTATTATTTAATCAAAACAGTCAGCTTTAGTGAAAGATGATCTTTATCACTGCAGGACTTTATTTACTGCAGGTGGGAGCTGGGGACCGTTAAACCATTGGTATTAATGAGCATTTCCTCCTTATCTTCTTTATCCTGACTAGTATTGTGTCTGACCGTAACAACAAGAAGATGCCACTTGGTGACGAGTGCCATGACTGGAAAAAGAAGACCACAGATGTGAAGGAGAAGTATGACTTCAAAGAGATCCTGGGAACGTAAGTGTGTTTCAGTTTTGCATGGTGGCTTTTTCACACCCTGGAAAACATTGCCACAATTTGAATGAAGGGTGTGTGTTTTTACATGTTTAATTATGCATTTAATATGTATTTGTTGCCTGTAATCTCTCAGATGGACTTGCATTTGTTTTGGTTTTGTGCCTAATGCTCGAATGCCTTAAATTATTATGCAAGTACTTGGGTAGATAATTATGGCTGCTAATTGTCTGGGTAGACCTTATTTGCTAAGGAGTGATTGTGTATGAATTTATTACTGTGTAACCAGCCTCATGGGAGATTTTGGTGTATTTTGTAAATGCGCCACTATTGGAGGTATACAGTAATTATGCTGGACTGCTCCTGTGAGTGTCTTCAGATCGACGGCTTGACTCATGCTGAATGGGACATTTTCAGATGCTCAGACCACCTCTTACTGAAATGGCAGATTTTAATTTTTTTTTTTTATGCTTTAGTTACATTAACACACAATATTTAAAGAGTGAAGACATTCTCTTCATGGAGGAATTTTGAGGATGGAAGGTGTCTGCAGGATGTGTCCATTACAGATCTTGTGACATTTATCTTTGGGAAAACATCCTTTCTCTGGGTAACTGAGAGGATATTTTCATATAACGTAAACAGGATCATTTGGGAGAAGTCAGTGTAATCCATTTCAGTGCAACTTAATACATTAAACCTACAATCAAATTTCAGTTTCTGTATGTCTTTTTGAAGCTTGTAATGTTTTGTGGACACTGTGTCATCAGATCTGTGTTGATTTACCATGTTGACACAGTGTCAACACACCAGTCATAAAGCATTACAGTGAGAGGCTGAAATTCTGCCTGCAGCATGTAAGTGATTGTGCAAGAACCATTAGAAATGCCTCTAAAGGCAACGCAGGTCACAGTGAAGTAGCACCATTAAATTTCCACTGATCAGCCACAATATTAAACATTAAGTAACATCCACATGAATGCCAAGACCCAAGGTTTCCCAGCAGAACATTGCCCAGAGCATCAAACTGCCTCCGCCGCCTTGCCTTCTTTCCGTATTGCTTCCTGGTATAATTTTTAAAACTACTGACCAAAAGAACTGCATCACTGTGAAACAAGTTTTACTTAGCTGCCTGCTCACACCCGTCAGTGGATCTCCAGCTTTCTGACAGACAGGAGGCAACAGGTGAGGCTGGGGAAACTCACATCCAGCACAGGACAATCAGCACTGCTGCTGTTCTCCCTCTTCACCAATGACTGCACCTCGGAGGACCCCTCTGTTAAACTCCTGAAGTTCTCAGACAACACAGTGGTCATTGGTCTCATCCGAGACGGTGACGAGTCAGCCTACAGACAGGAAGTTGAACAGCTGGTCCTGTGGCGAACATGAAGCTGAACTTGTTCAAAACTATGAAGATGACAGTGGACTTCAGGAAGAGCCCCCCCCCCCCCCCCCTCCTCAGCGCCATCATCAGCACCGCCACTAAGACGGCACAGCAGAAGATGTACTTCCGGTGCCAGCTCAGGAAGTTCAGCCTGCCCCAGGAGCTGCTGATACAGTTCTACAGAGGAATCATCTGTTCTCTGCTCATCCATCACTGTCTGGTTTGTTTCAGCAACCAAACAGGACAGGAACAGACTCCAGCGGGCAGTAAGGAAAGAGTCATCGTTGCCAGCCTGCCCTCAGTGGAGGACCTGTACACCTCACGGGTCAAAAGGAGGGCAGAGAAGATTTCTGCAGACCCCTCACACAACCGGTTTGAACTCCTCCCCTCTGGACGGCGTTACAGGTCACTGTACGCCAAAACAACCAGACACAAGGACAGTCTCTTCCTCCCACTTCATCATTCTGATCAACACTTAAAGTTAACTATGACTGAAGCAACAGGACTCGGCAACCACCGCAGTAATTGTAAATAGTACTTGTAAATAGTAATTGTAAATTTCCAGCCTGATAGCTTGAAATGTGTATATATGTACATATTTTTTATGAATACTGCCTCTCCTCCTTCTCCCACACTTCCCCTGCCTTTGATTGCACAATTCTATTGTCTGTTGTCTAAAACACACTGAGAGCCTCTGTGCTGGAGACAAATTCCTTGTATGCTCAACATACTTGGGGATTAAAGCTGATTCTGATTCTGATTATCTGAGTGATACTGCTGTTAACTTGAAAGCAAGACCTAGTGCTTTAGAAATCAGGTATCACATTTTCACTTTCCCTCATTTCCAACACCTTTGTGTTATTTCTTTTGACATTAGTTCCAAGTGTGAGTGTGAGACATTCAATAATGGGGAATGGCTGCTTTTTGAACCATGTGTTTTATTTTTTCATTTTGAAGGTGAGATTTTTTTTTTTTATGGCTGTGGTAGTACACCTCTGTCATCCAGTTGCATAGGAATGTAATATGCATTCA